TTAGGCAAAATGGTTTCTAGTTCTTGACATGACTGACTTGCCATCTTAAGAAGCAAGTTGATCTCAGTGCCCCCCAGTTCACCTGGGGACAGGACAGATGGGAGGGCCCTTGTCAGCTGAAGGAATGTTCTTACATAGATAAGTAGGCCCATTAAGTTGTTTACTGCCTTGGAATATACAGCTCTTAACCAGCACATGCCACTTGGCTACATGTCACTTGCGTTCCTGGAGGCTATATACATGTCAAGCCCTATCCCCTTTCGGGTGAGGCGATCCAACATCTTGCTGACGCCCAAGATTCTGCTTCTGTTTATAAGTTCCCTTAATAAACTATTTAATTCTGCAGTTGTCAGGCTCTTTCTGTGGTCTCTCTCAACCCTGTACTCCTTTGGAGGTCAGTCTCAGTACACGTCAGGAAATTTTCCCAGCAATATATACAATTTTAAAAAAATAGATTTTAAAAATTAAATGTCGTTATGATTGCCAAAATATATAAGGGAGGAGATTCTGGGTGCTAGTAATGTGTGTGTTGGGAGGGATGGTTGCAGAGTATACACTTCACAACCATTTGTTACATTGTAAATGTAGGTGTTGGGCATTTTTCTGTAGGTTTGTTTTCAACATAAAAAATTTTGTTTTAAAAAGGGGCAATGAGGGCCGGCCAAGTGGCGCATTGGTTAGGAGTTGGCTTGGGACGCCAGCTCTGAGCAGCAGGGCCCCGGTTTGGATCCCAATGAGGGCCAGTGACACTGCGCCCTCTACAGCTAAGATGGTGAACAACAACTCAGTCTGGAACTGGGCTGCTGTGAGTGACAGGCGACATTGTAGGCTGCAGTGGGACTGGCCGGCAGGTGGCATGCGCTTTCGTGAGCTGCCGTGAGATACCCTGAGTGGCCGTCCAATGGTCGGCGAGTGATTGCCTCACCCAGGAAGAGCACAATGATAATACCAACATGGGCCAGTGAAGCGATGTTCTCCACAACTAGACTGAAGAACAAAAGGACAGCAACTTTTCTGTTCCCTTCCCCCAATTCCCAAATAAAAGCTTTTAAAAAAAAGGGGGGGGGATAGGGAATGACCTCAGATATTGTAAAAAAATAACCTGCTTTTTGGTTTGGTTGTTGTTTGGTTTGTTTGGTTTCTTGGTCTTTTCGCATATGCTCAGAATAGAAGAGGCTGGCCAGTGGCGACCTCTGTGAAGTGGAAAGGATATTGGGAAGGTAAGTGGAAAAACTGAGAGTAAAAAAATCAAGAATTCAGGATCCAGAGACCTGAAAATGTGAATTGTATGAGTCCCAGGTCAGCCAGACGGCCTACACATGATGTATTAACTCTGTCCATCTGTACTTCTCTCTTGGAATAAGTGTCTACAGTCTGCCTTAGATGGGTGGTGAGGACTAATGACTCACCTACAGTAAATGCTTTGAAAACCCTCAGTGAAAAGGTATTCTGAGATAGTTGTCTTACTCATCCATCCCGTTTATGAGTAAATCAAAATAAAGTATTTTATTATCAGACCCCCATATCCACTGATCTCAATTAAAGAAACACACATGGGAAAAATCCAACCTGTATCTATCCTTCTATACAGGTACCTCTCATGCTTCGTAGTTCAATCAAGGGACTAACATAAGAGTGATGCTAAGCAGCCTGGTTTGTTAGGACACAGTTAGATAATTCATTTCTGTATCCACAGAATGTATTTCTCAGCTCCACCAGTGTATTAGTTGACACAACAATATTTAACATCCAACAATTGTGGAGTGACTCAGTTCAATAGAGCCATTTAACATGATGATGAATTTTCCCAAGATTCTTTGAGCTAGAAAGGTGTCTGCTTTCAAGTTGTCCCAAGATCCCAAAGGCCATGGTTACAGAAGCCCTCACCCCATACCCCTTCCCATACCCCTTTTTTTAACAGCACATAACTAAACTTAAATTTCCAACATTGACCTGCATGCATTCTTATAATATTTTTACTAATAAAACTATCAGGAGGAACTTCTAAACAGGAAGAGAAAAATAAATAACCGGTGAAGTAACAGGCACCTAGGGTGGGGAAAAAAATATCAGTTACAGTTTCATCATTCTTGGAGGACAGTAATGTGTCACCCCTGAAGATGTGGCTCATCCAAGGAATTCTCCCAAAGGAGAGTCCCATGACATGAACCTGTAGGGATGCTGCAAAAATGCACTGTGATTCGTCCTACTAATATAGGGAAGTGGCATGAGGACTATTTTTACAAAGGAAGGAACTAGGAGGTTGGATTCCAAGCCTGCTACCTA